AATGTACTCGTATTATGTTGAGGTAATAATTTGAGCATAAATTTGTATGTCTGTGAAAATGCATTTCTCAGGTACTTCGAAGAAGAAATATTTTATTTGGATGTTCTTAGAATTTTTCAGGTTAGTGTGGATCGCCGTGACTGGGTACGTGTAATCGACCACACGAAGTATCTGTGCCGTTCTCGGCAGACGCTGTACTTCTTACTCACGTGTTGTTAGGTAAGTAGCAGCCATTATCACCTTCCGTTCGCTATGGTATCAGCCTGGGGAAGAGTTCAGACAACCATCTGAAAGGTGGATCCTGTCCATGTGCGAGGTGTGCAGGTCCGCAGCCTTAGAACTGAGGCAATCTCGCCGCTTGAGAATGTGCCGCAATGAAGGTTGAAGCTTGTGATGGCTCGATTTTTACCATACCTCCGCTCGCTTTGATACGCTACACGTCTAGCCATAAGTGAGAGAGCGCCGACAAGCAGTTGCTCTGGCCACATTTGAGCGTGTGATCTGTCGTATGGCGTTTGGCGTGTTTGTGCGTGCAGAATAGCGGGCCTGAATGAATGGTCATCAGGTCTTCACGCACCATGGGTTCATTGTCGCCTACTTTCGGAGAGCCAAGTGATACAGTTCAGAGCTTCCATCTCACATGTGGATTTTCCAACTTTCGAATCATCGCATTGTGTGTTTCTGGGGCGGCATCCATACTTCGTGACTACATCAATGTGGCAGTCGCGCGACTGCAACCGACCCTGCTCCACCGATGAACGTTGGGCTGCTGCTACCACTGGTCCGTCACATTCGGAATAGGTGTTCATCCGATCGTTGCGCTCACGATCAGCCTTAGGGTGCGTAGATCGCAGTTAGGCCGCTTTCAGACTTCGCGACGGCAGCGCTTCGGTCGCGCGTTCGACGCGATCGATGCGCATACTTTCGACTGCATCGATCGCGTCGAACGCGCGACCGAAGCGCTGCCGTCGCGAAGTCTGAACGCTGCCTTAAACAAATTCCGGTCCGCTGGTTGGCGAAGTATGAACTCGGCTCAAAGGCTGCTGGGATGATGGGAGTTTGAGCGATGAGAACCGAATTGAACCGTGTGAGAGCAACGCTGAAATATCTCTTAGTCACAAAATATTATTATTTTCCTCATTTTCATTGCACATGAGTTCCATAATCAACCAAATTCAGGTATATCCGCGTTGTGGGCACTCATAACTCGCAGTCGAATCGAATGTTCCACTTAGTGAGTTTGGAAGCATTGAACTCATCAGATGAGTTTGCAATCGACCCCAAGACTACTCTGCTGAGTATGTTCTCTTTCTCATATTTCATGTGTGCTCTTTCGCATATTTTCTGTCATAAAGTTATTTACTTGTTCTATTTTTTAGTTCCTTCTACCAATGTGGCCACCATTGAAAACAATGCGTTAGTCATAGAAGGAGTATCAAGGTGTAGAAACGCCCTCCTAAACGGGCAGGTTGGTGTTTTTACGGTTAGTTCACCAAGGATTTCTTCAGTCGTCGGAACAGCTTCCCGTAGCGAGTTTTCTCACAGTTTCTTAGACTCGTACTGCACGGATATTTTCGGGATTCAGATCACTTCCAATTCGTGGGGAGGGTGACGCAACAGATGTTGTGTGTCGTGACGTTCGCACCAGGACCCAGTTGATTTAGTGTGGCAGGGCTACACTGTGCCAAGTTGGTTAGCCAGGAGATGCTTGGCTAGTTTTCGCACGGTTCTCGGATGTCTCGAATTACTCCCCTGTTGCCGAAATTCCGAATCTTTGTAAACAGAAAAGTTATTCCCCTAAATTCTGATAGCAGTGTGTTTAGAATTCCGACTACGATTGGGATAATGGTTACACGTGTCATCAGCTGAATAGTGGAGCCATCACTATTCAGTTGCCACAACCATACCTGATAAGTACAATGAGGTATCGTTTATACTTGTTATGAGCTCGCATTGTTCAGTCTACTATTAGGCCATCCTATTCAAAAGTGCCCAAGATTTTATTCATATAAAACGAAGAGGAAAATAGATAAAAAAGTAATATTTTGGCTTGAGTTAGGTAGATCCCTCCTTCACCAATGACCCGCTCCCAGTGCCCCGAAAGCCTTTGGACCTCTGGTACCTTCGATTTTTCAACAAGTGCGAGTAAATTGCTGTTGATGCCAATTTCGGCGAATGACAAAACATTGTAGCGTTTGCCGTCGGAGAGTACCCTCGACTGACCAGAACAGTTGGAATCGAACGGCTTTATGTTGAGCGAATGGGGCGATTGAACCCAGGTCTCAGTATTGTTTGTGTCCCAGCACTGCCCTACAATACAGTTACTCGGGGTCTGGCACTATGACGAGCAACGGTGGCCTTCTTGTAGTTGTGTGGTACCATCCATTTGTCGATCTGATTGCCGAGGAACAGGCAATAAACCGACAGCGACGCTATTGTTCTCTGTATAGAGCCGCTTGAAAGCCACAGTGGGAATCCTTCGCTATGATGATCATCCACTTGCGCCCACGTAACTCCTCATGGTAGAACTCGGGCGGCTTCTCATCTGCATTCATACAAAATTGACGATTGTGAGTTTTGGCTCGAGGTCCAAGACCACATA